TACAGATATTTTAAACAAAATGATATTACATTTTAAAATTTTTGTACATCAAAACTGTACTAAACTAAAATTTTCACAAATTAAAATTAAATTATAAATATAGCGAAGATTGAAATTATAAATTTTTTACCCACAATACTACAACCTATTTTGCGGAAACAAAATTTTTTATATTCAACAATGATTTAATTAAAAATTACATAGAATTTTCATCTACATTATTACAGATTGATTTTTACCAAATTTCTCACGCATTCTACACACTTTCAACATTGTACGGTTAAAGGAGCATATTATAATTACAAAGCAAAGCGTTGCATATAACAGGCACGTGTTTTAAACAGCCTCGATGAGCTTTTACCTCTGATCACACGCATGATCGCTACCAGATCCACATCCATTAAAAATTGGTAACTCGATATCGGAGTATTGTCCTAACGTACTCGACGCACATGCCTAGAAAGTTTGCTCAGTTATGCACAGGAGATCCGAAGAAAGCGATACATTTATTATGCATATCTAAACAATGTCCTGGACGGGTTTTCTCCTGAACCATGTTTGTTCATGCGCACGATTTCATATCGCGTTGAATCTTCCGAGCCGGAAGATGAAAAACTCTACCTACGTTGTATCTCTCTGTGTACGTTCTCATGTAAATGTTATTTGTATAATTCAATTCGTAGAACAGTAGCTGTTCTTCTATAACGTAATATCTAAAATTAAGATAGTATTTTTTGCGTAGAGATTTTGATCACTTGGAAAACAGTTTATTTTGATGATTTAATTATTAAAATTGTGCAATAAAATAATATCTCAAATAATTTTATAATGGCATAAAAAGTATAATTTCAAATAATTTTAGATATAAGGAATCTTAAAATAATAAGGAAATATAACATTAGAAACGAGTTGAAAGATACATTTTGTTTCATATGACGACGTATTTTTAGCGTAATTTATAATTTATGTTGTTGAACGAACGATGTTTTACATATTACAATTATTTTCTATTATCAGGAAGTTTGTTATTTTATCTTTCATCTAACATGCTCTGTTCATGTCTGTGTTCAAATAACGTATCGTTTCTTTAAACGCAACATTAATATTGCAACATCGTGCTACTCCGTACAACATTATACGGACACCATTTTAAATGAATTTTTTACTCTATCCATTTAGAGAAAAAAAACGAATAATAATAATTAATCCTGGATTCGCGGGAAGTATAACAACGATTACGATGAACGAATTCTTTAATCTCCTATAACCAAAACTTTATTTCCTTATGAGAGAAAAAGATTGTAATTGGACACAGTTTATTAATATATTCTTAAACGTATAATTAGAGATTTTTAATTATTGCATATAAATAACCTGGGTTGCGTCTGCGTAACGGCATATTAATAAGATACGGGATCATAGTGATAAACGTTTATAACAAAAATTTTAAAAAATATAAAAACAACGTTTGATCCTCTTCTATAACCATTATTCTCGCTGATAAACTCGATTAACACAGTTGCTCGCATTCTTGGAAAAGCCAACATCTACGAATGGTCGACTTTCGAAAATGAAATTCGCGATGCACGTTCTAAAATTTAGAGTATCGATTACATACGAGAGGCGGTCGTTTGCCGAGCCGGCAATAAAAGAGAAAAAGAGAAAAGGAGGAAGAAAAAAGGACGAAGACCCCCTTCGCATCCGGATACGCTCCACTCCTGTCAGTCGTATGTCAACCCTCGTTGTTTTTTTGCCGCGCTCTTAATAATTGATCATCTGATTACGATACATTATACCCCCCTTTTTCTACTTTGGTACACCGTCAGAGAGGGCATTATTCGTGCACCGAGGGAAACAGAGTAAACGGGCGAAACAGAGAAGGAAACTTTTTCTTTCCGTCGCCTGGCGAGGGACGACCATTTGCATATAGGCCCCCTTATCGACAAATACACCGGGGGCGCCCTTCGTAATGAGGGCCCCACCCTTCGCCCCTCCTCACCACCATTCTTTATTTTTTTAACGTGGACCGCCATTGTCCGTTAACTCATTCGACGTGGCACCGTGGACCAGCTTCGTATCTCCCTTCCTTCCTCGTTATCCACTTCATCTTTCTATCGTCTCCATTCTCTCTCTCTCTCTTTCTTTCTTTCTTTCTCTCTCTCTGTCCCTGTCTCTGTCTCATTTAAAATGTTTCGCCTCGCTCTCTGTATTTCACTGGCTCCACTCGGTGTGTTCCTGTCGTGTTTGAACCGAACCGCGACCTTCCAGGCTGGGAACCCGCGTTAAGAAAAAAAAAGTAGAAAAAATAACGACAGAGAATAACAGAACCGGTTACGCGTCGAAAAATATGAATCATAGAGATAAAGCTAGAAGCGTGAAAACGTGGATGGGATTCTATACTGTGGCATCTGCTTTTCGAGATAGACATAAGAAAAAAAATGATCGCTGATAAAGGTTTTGTTGGATTGCGCAGCCGTCGTGTGGGACGCGTGAGAATGATCCTGTAACAAGGATCGTTGCATTTATAATAATAATTGGCTTCGCTTTTAAATAGTACTGTATGTTAATTGTCTGTGTGATAATTGAATTATCTAATTTGATCTTCTATGACGCAAGTGTAGAGCTTTGTTGCGGAGGAAGCTTCAAAATTGAAAATCATAATTCTATGCTTTGCAATTAAGTACTCGTTATCGTGAATCATTTTTGTTCTTTTTTTCATTATTTAATCATTCTGTTAACCTTTTTATATGCCTTATTTTACCGAATAGACCAACTCAATTTTCTATATCTCTAAATTAAGATTTCTTTGCCAGAAAGAAGTAGATATTATACTCATACTTTCTCCGCTTTGTAGCAAATAATTAAGAAAAAAAAAAAGAAATAAAACGTTCTTCCTGTTATATATAAAATTATTATATACAAACTTCCCATTAAACAATGCGCGAAAATTAAGCTCTCTAATTAATAGTTCGAAACACAGGAACCAAGAATACTAAAAATTTTGCTGAATTCATCATAAAATTTCATTATTGTATCGTTTAAGCCTGCACGTCACCTTAAAACGAATGGCCCTAACATAACCACGAAATCTCATAAATCCGTGATAAGTTTCTCAATGATCGTTCTAAAAATCACTCTCTTAACTTAGCTGTCAAGTGATCGATATAACATGCAAAAAGATTCGAACCTACAGAAAACTTCATAATGCTAAAAATATAGGCATTCTATAGGAAATGGGGTATTCTAAAGAATTTCAGTCATTTTTAGGAATAACAGGTCGCAGGACATAGGGGACCGGTTTTGTAACCTAGAGAGACCGATTGTTACCGACTTCGTTACACAACTGTTAGGATAATCTGCAGCGAGAATCATGAGCCGTGATACACGTATACAGCCATGTATAGGTTATGTCCGGTCCAAGGGGTGAGGGCAGGTGTACCTTTCGAGAGAATAATTAATATTCAGAGAGGAAAAAGTGGGCGAGAGCCGGCGATAGTCTTCTCTTATGAACAGTTAGCGCGTTAGCAAACGGGCACATCGCTTCTAGACACGCAGCTGGTCCTCCCAAGAAAGACTTCCAGGCCCAATTATGTTCGTCTTGTCGATCGTCCTTACACCGTAATTGTTTCGCGTTTGATCTGTTGGTCGGTACCTGGCCGGAAATTTCGTGGGACTGATTTTATCGGACTTCTTGGATTCCTACCGTACTCCTGGAACTTTCGAATTTCTATCCGAAACGATGAAGTTCCTGAATAGTTGAATACGGTATGCACAGTGTACAGGTACTAGGTTTAAACTTTCTTTTATTCGCCTTGAAATAGAAAAGGTAACAGCCTCGTGTAACAACTAAGTGGATATATTTCTCGAAATAGCGATTCACGTTAAAGTTCCCCATTTTCATGGCGGAAATTTGTATAACGATAACTAAAAAAAGTATGTCAAGCCAGAACGATCATGAGGCACGGTTTCACGAATAAATCGTAATCTACTAACATAGATATCGGCAATCTTCCGGTGAAATCTCAGTAGCCTTGATAACGAAAGCGTGTAGACCGAGCCGCAGGACGAATTGCAGCTGCAGAAAACGAGGAAAACTTATGATCAGATAAGGGCGAGAGCGGGAGGCAAGAGACCGGTATAAAAGAGTTAGAGAAAAAGAGATAGCGGATGAGGGGTCGGAGGAAAGCGGAGTACAAATTACGACCACCCGGAACTGGTCTCGTGGCCGTGTTAACTTTCGTCGCGTGCCTTCGGGAAATGCCTCAACTTTTGCAGCCACGTGTTATCGTCCGGGCATTATAAACTTTCCATTGCTCGGCCTTTCCCTCTCCCTTTCCTTCTTCCCTTTCCTTGTTTGCTTTCATTATTTACGACGCGTTAACGAAATTTACGGCTTGCCCTTGCACTGTTTTCTAGAATTTTGTGACTCGGTCGAACTCGTAGAGTCTTCGTTATACTTTTCTCGTAAACATATTTTCCCAAAACATTGACCAATATTCCTCGTTAGATATTCGTTACTTCGTAGTTATCATACTGTAAGGTTATATTTTGGATACCGTTAAATGCAGTACGTTCTTTTTTCAATTATCTATAATATTTGAAAAGATAATATTTTCATAGTATCATTGTAATAATAAAAATGATGTAACAGGTTAGTTAACAAGACTCTTCCTGTATAAAGTGAAGAAATATAGTGAACGACGCTATTTAATATGTACTAGTTTTCGTCGCTTATTTAACATTTATATAATATTTTCAAAATGTATTTTTCCTCTCTCCTGGAAACGTGAAAACAATGACCACGTTATATGTATACAAACTTTAAATATGAATTAAGTTCGACCGATCAATTTATAATCAGGCAAGATGCTGCAATAAAATTTAAGCGAAATATCTAGAAAATAATTGGAGATCTAATTGTGTATTTCTACTAGGCAAACAGTTCAATTAACTACTACGTACGATTAAATATTATAACCTTAACCTGTTTTGTGTTTCAGATATGAGGCAGTGGAATTAATCTATCGTGAACTGACCAGCGTTTACAAGCAATCGGAAATTGATTGGAAAATAATACACAATGCAGGTTGCACTAGAGATGATACTGATTTGCCAGACCATGTTACTGCGCCTAATGACCTCAATCGATTAATCAGCGTAACATTCAGATCCTTTTTGACTGCTCTGCCGACTCCTCCTACGATCGTAACAATTGCAAGGTATGAAGGGATAGTACATTCTTATACATCGAATTTTTACATTCTAAATTATAATGAAAATTCATGCTTTTTTCTGCTACTGCTATTATGTATTTAATAACGTAAAAATTCAAATGAGCTGTTTCAAGCTGTTAATAAACAGCGCGTATAAATAATATTTTATTAAAAACTCCTAAAATTACAAAACTATTAGCTACTTTATGAAAGAAAATTTTCTACTTCAGAATTTCTTACTTTAAACCGATTTCCCAACAAATTTGTTTTTCTTTCATACGCGATAAATGTTTTCCTGTACCTATCGATTTTTTTAACATTATTTTCTAAAATTCCCACGCCAGGCTATGTAATCCTATTTATCATAGTGACCCAATTGAATAATACATTCGATCAATTAACCAGTTAACTGTAGCGACCTCTTTGAAAACTTTGAAAAGTGTGTGCCTAAAATGTGCCGTAAAATGTAAGCGATGACGAGTATACTCGTCAAACACAGAATATGTGTGTCTGTTACAATACAGAATTAAGTTGTAATGAAATGACTGTTTCATTTTCTAATTTTATTACTGACAGGGCTCGTCATAACGCAAAGTATTGCCATTTCTTCATGACGAGTATAGTCGTTAAAGACAGCTAAGTGGTTAACATAGCCTCCAGCAAACTTAACAAAGTAATCTTCCCCAAACATTTCCCCAAAATAAACGAAACTGTCCATCGCTAAAAGGAGGATGGTAACAAAAATAGCCATCGATAATAATCGCGCCGCGGAATGTTTTTGAAACGCGTGAAATTGAATTCCAAGGCTGCCCGTCTCTATCGAAGGTAGAGAACGGCAGGGTCGCAGATGGCGTGGAAGAAGATGCTGGGAGGGCTGGAAATAGAGAAAAAGGGAGGATCGTAGGGGAGGTATGGTTGGGTTGGGCGAAGGGTGGGTTCATGGACGTTCGGCTACCATGAAGCCCCACCTCCCATGTGGGCAAGGGGTGGCCTTGTAAGGGGTGTACAAAATCAAATCCCCGACCTTTCGGCACTCGTTGTCAGATGTCTCTGTCTTCGATGTCCCGCGACAGATGCTAATTATTCCTTTTTATCTCTGTTCTACGGTCTAGTTGGCCGGATGATTAAGGCGAGACACGGTAATCCGTTTCTCAATTTTGCCGGCTCTCGTAATAAACGCGCCACGCCACGGGAAATTGTGATTTATGAAACATACGAGACGCGACGATACTAATGAGATCATCGCCAAAGAGGAGATCTTTCCACGGACTCTGAAGCTCGTCTGGAGTCGAACTCTACGATTTCTTCTGGCAAAACGCGATTAAGTTCATAGCTTTATGTTATAGCTTTATTTAGTTCCACTGCGCATTATTGATGGTATTGTCTATTTACAGATATTAATTACCATTAGATTTATCATTACGATTAGATTTTGCTGTGTAAAACTAACACAGAATGTTCGTATGTAATAATTTTTAAATTGAGGTTTCTTTTATTTCATTGTTATTTGAAGCCAGTTTAACTGATTAGTCTAATTAGATTAGGAAATATAGTCATTCTAAATCATCCACCTATGCGATTATTTAGGTCAATAAATTTTATTAATGGTTGAACCGTTTCACATAAGAAAATAAAACACGAATGTCATTATATACTCAAAACTAAGAAAAGTACACCTAAGTGTGTTATATCAATGTATATTACTTATTACAATAATTCTTCTTCTAATACCATTTATGCTACAGTCTGAAATATATTTCATAGCATTCATCGTGTGAAAGGGAAGATAGAGTATTTAAAATTATATTACTTATACTTATTCATCTCGTAGAAATATCTAATAAACCAAATTATGCAATGGAAACGTGGGTAAAAATAATGGAATAATCTGTAAATGGTTGATTTGGCGCCATCTCGTGATAAAATTAAGGAAATAGCATTCGGACTTCCGGCGGTGGCAGAAAAAAAATCGATTTCATCCCACTCGGCCCACTTGCAGCCCTCGACGACCCCTTGGTCTCCACCCCCAGCACTCCTAGCTTCCGGGAAAGACGCGGAAACGCCGCCGGATGTCGCCTCTGGACGGCACCGAGGTTCTCTTTCAGTTTGCCAGACGGCGATTAAACAGAAACAAGAAGAGAGAGCGAGTTTACGAGACCGAAAAGAGACTATTTACTATCGTTAAATGTACATTTTATCCTGTGATGTTTATATTTCACCAAATCTTTGATTATTTTTATTTCCACTATCCATCGCAATTTCTTCATTATTCGGTCGATTTTACGATATCTACGTACTTTATCGTTCATAATTATTTACACATTTCGCTTGATTTATAGCAACGACGTTTGATTTTGACCAAAATTAATAACAAATCAATAACTTACTTATAATCATTTTTCATGGGACCAGCAGACTATAAATTTAAGTTAGCTGTTAAAATGTACAGGAGATATGTCTACTACATACATTCATTGTTTATATATCGATATTTGTATCTGCCTCTGTATCATCTGTATCAGTATCAAGTTTCTTTATGAACGTCATTTTCTATCTAATTCAGAAATTAAAGAATCGGAAAATAAGGAACTTGTCAAGTAACAAAATAGCTCTACAAGATTTTACAATTGGAATCGTCAATTGTAAAAATCAATTTAAATCAAGTCATAGTGTTCTATTATACGTAGTGTAGAATTATTTGCAAGCTACCATCTTTTATTTTACTTTCTCTAAAGAACTTCAATATATATATATTTATTTATATAATAGATATTTATAACAATTATATATTAAACATTTATAGAACTACCGATATATTAGTCAACGGAACAGTTTGATGAGAAAGCACACGAAGTGAAGAATATCTGCTCTTGTTCACAGATCCAGCGAAGACGAATATTGTCCGTCAGAGGACGTCGATCAAATTCAGATGGCAGTGCTCGAAGAACTTCGTGAATGTTTAGGAGATATCGACATCCAATTGGCTTATCAAGAAGAGGAGCAATCTTTTTAAACATCGAAACATAACCACCCTTTCCTTTAATCGAATCGAATTAATCGAGTTAATCGAATAATGTTCATTTCGATACAATAAACGTTTTTACAAAATATATTCACCCTTCCGTTAATCGTATCTTCTGTCAGCCATTCCACGGTCCATAGTAAAAATAAAATCTACCGGTTCGAGCAGCGGGTCGTTACTAAGACAACGAGTTCTCGAGTGAGAACCAAATGAAACGCTCGTAAAGACCAATTACACTTTTTTCATTGGGCAAAGAAAACTAAGTCGAGGAGTCCAGCAACGTTGCATCGAATCGATGGAATACATCAGAAGATCAGAAGACGAGGAGGGAGAAGGAAACTGGCACGTCTTTGATCACAGCGACGATTTACATAAGATCGGTGCCACTGGCCCATTATAAGAAGCGAACACAATGCCAACCTGAAGGTTAGCGTTTTTCTGCACCGAGTACCCCTGTGCCCCTCTCTCGTCCCTTCGGCCGCACATTTGCATACCGTAGGCTAGTTTCCCACACGTCTTAACAGCGATCGTTTCTTCCTTCTCTTTCGAAAATCTTCCCTCGTTTCCGTTTCTCTTTTACTTACAACCCTTTTCAGTCAGCAGGGGCAAAAAGACCAAGGAATACAGAAAAAAACGTCTTCCTTCTTCCAAGATGTTGGCGTTTCCTGGTGAAATATCTCTCAACATGGCCTTCGTACGCATTCAGATTGTGTACTGAATGTGCGTGCACGTAGTGTATTATACTTATACATCATTTTAGGTATTGAATTTCTAGAGTACAATGGGTATGGAGGTCTTTGTTCAGGAAACACCGCGGACATTGCGCAAAATAATTCTTTATCTTGAATTGATTATTTATAAGAAAATTGTTTAATATCCTCGACGATATGATGGGAAATAAAATATAGGTACTTCTTTTTAAATGAAATATTCCAGATGTTTATTATAGTTCATTCAAGATAGTTACATTTTTTATACATTTTCATTTACTGCATTAATAAATGGTTGAAAGTTCGTGCAAACACTTTGAATAGTTTATACATTTTTAGAAGTTTCGGTTGTAGACTTTAAAATATTTTACCAGTAGCTTGTATCTAAGTAATTTGAGAAAAGTAAAAATAAAATTACTCGGAGTATATTGCGAAAAATCAAAATTATTTCTAATATTAGTATACCAATTTTTTCACAAAGAATCAATTCTTTTCCTAAGTTCTTCGATTTAAAAAATTAAAATTTAAACTAAAAGGATTCTTAATAAGATTCTAAAGGAATAAACATTCTAACGCCTATACAAGAAGAAATATTACCCGATTCAAATTAACGTCTAAGCATCAATTCGTTAGTTATTCATGGTAGCATAGCCGAAATGAGTCATTCAATGGTTAAAGTGATCGTACAATTCCGCGTTTAGGGTCAGCACAGAGGAAACGAGCGATAACGCGCGAATAAACGTTAAATGAACAAGGTGAATGCGGAAGTGTGGTTGCAGAGAAGGGACGAATTTTAAAGAACCGCAAGGAAAGTTTACGAGCTGCCAGGCTCACGTAATGACTGTCGTTAACCACGGTGCGGGACTCTCGGCCGGAGAACCAAGCCTTTGTATGCTAATGACAGGGTGGTCCGATTTCAACCACCCTGAGTAAAAAATCTTAGGGGTCAACAGACCCATCGTTCGGCCGAGTTTTAAATCTCCCTCGAGTACCATTGACCTCGAATTAAAAACGGGCTCGACCTTCGACCCGTTGAAAACTTTACGACCACTACGAACCGTAGCTTTTCGCAAATTCATTGACGAATACAGTCGTTCTCTTTCTTCTATGGTTCCTTATCCGTGCAAAATTAACTTCTGCCACCGGGAGGTTCTCGCTGCTCGTCTATAACAACAGTGAGCTCACGAGACCCTCGGGACGACGGTGTAACCATTCGCTCAAGTAATACGTGCATTAATATTCATTAAACTGCACCAACTGTGCTCAGTTAAGAAAGGAATTTCCACAAGGTGCACGTTCTTGCGTGAGTAACCTAGTATCGGTCTTACGCTTGGTTTAAACTATTAGCAGAATTTCTAATGCCTTTTGGAAATATAATGTAATTTCAGCAAGTACTTTGATTATTTTTCTCGCTGTTGAAATATCGATATTTGTTCGGTACATGTTTCGGTATTGCATATTACATATGGCACTTAAAAGGAACGAAATATGATTTTTAATATCCTCCAAAAAACAGTAATTTAAGTTATTAAGAAGAAAAAGCTTCGGTCTATCGTCCTTGTGATATTTTATCCTTCATGATTAATAAAATTTGCGACGCTTGTGTAATTGTAAATAGCAATTTCAAAATTGTTCAATAGATAACGAAGAAAATATAAAACATCGAACCAATAAATTTTTGTTATACATAAATATAATGATATAAATATTTCTCAAATAATAAAAACAGTATTTACCCATTGGAAAGAATGTTATCAGAGGCCATAAAAATAGTATTGTTTAGCAAATCTAACAGAAAGAATTGTTTTGCGTCACGGTCTGAACGTAATTTTAAGCGTCTCATTCTCTCTCATGGCTATTCGGATTTCATTCACCCAGGTGACACCGTGACATTGGGTTCTAGGGGAATTATTCAAAACCAGGTCTGGCTGGCAAAAGTACAGCCGTCCCTGGCACCGTAATCCCGTATTTGATTTGCATAAAACAGAAACGCAAAAAAGCAACAGACGAGAAAACAAAAGTGTACAATAAAGAACACCAATCGAACGCTTAAAACATCAAAAACTGTTACGAACAAATCACGATCTATCAAATACGATCGCTTATTTAACAATTTATATATTTCTATATATATATATATGTATAAAATAAAAGTTTTTATAAATTACAGATAATAGGATAGTTCATAGGATAGCAATTCGTTCCATAATTTCTCATCGAGAATGCTAAGAATTTGTGTTCAGAAAATTAATTTCGAACACAATGTGTGTCTATTCCAGTACTTAGCAATCTTTTCATCAGTCATAATCTATCGCGATCATTCACAATAGTTATACTAATATTTAAAAATAGTTGACACAATACAAGTTCATCTAAAATTCGGTAAACTAGATTATAAAATAAATTTTCGTTCCAACAGGTACAATTTGAATAAATAGTACTACATTTTAACTACGATAAGTATACTGAAATAAAATAGAATTCATCGTCACCAAACTTAAAATCCAACAAACGCAGCTCAGATAAATAATGCTTCGTCTTAGTTACGGTAAACCTATAAACTGATAAACTAAAATTCATTTTTACGAACTTAGGAACATTCTACGACGATTCACAGCTTTCAGACGAGACAATTCATTCATCCGTGGCAAAGAGCCCGAGGAGCCCTTTGCTCTCCCGTACCTGACGATTATGCGCGTGACGAAAGAGATCTTCAGAGAGGTGAGTATGCTAATCAGCAGGCATAATGCAATATCGATACGCCGGAGAAAGCCAATTATAGTATGGGGATCCGTCTCGTTCGACCTATAGGTCGTTCTCTCGAAAAACGTCTCCGTGAAACGCATAGAGGGTCGCACACGGGCGACGCATCGGTGAGAAAATGAATAGCAAATGAAAGAAAAAAAGGAGGAAGAACGAGAGAGGACGGGGCCGCGTGATAGACAACGCCATAGGCGGAGACCTCGTTGGCCGTTGTTCGAAAGTGCTATTTGTATTTATTCGAGGCCTTTGTTCGTACCCGGAGACTCATGGGGAGGAGGGTGGAGCGAGCAGCGAGAGGGAAAGAGAGAAAAAAATTATTCAAAGACGCGGCAAAGGGGTGAGGTCCACTAGTCGTTACGGGACTATGCGACGTTTCGGTCGAAAAAATAGTTGCACGCGGCTCGATACTGCTACGTGTATATTTTGTAGACGAGAGTGTGCCGTTGTATCCGAGTTTTTTCAGAATGATTAATTAAAATTAAATCGTGCACTCATTAAAATAATTAGATAATTAACCGTTGTAATCGAAAGTATACACCAGGAAAATCTTCTTTCAACGTGATACGTAAATTTAATATTTTGAAAAATTTATATACGATTATTTTCAATATTTTAACATTTTTTTCATACTAGAAATAATTCATCGATTACTATCGATCGTCTGCAAGTTTAATTCTTCAATTAATGTATGAATTATTAAATTAGTGTAATTTTCGTACGTCAACTTCGTTAAAAGTTGATCGCCCGGTGAATTTTCGAAATACGCAGAGCCAGGTGAAAATAAAACCGGGAACCAAGGTGCACGGATGTCCAAGCACGTAACACAATTAATCCCAGAGATCGAATTACGGCCAAGTGTTTGCCCCATCATGCAGATTCCCTCGTTCTCGTTGGTGCAGTATGTGACGAGATGATCGCATGTGTGTGTGAATGCATCTCGTGCAGCGGATGCAACTGCGAGTGGTCAGTAGCTCGCAAAACGACTGACCGCTCGGTGCATCCCCTCGGCACTTTTCGATGTACCTCGCGCGAGTGACATATATCGAACCTATATATTTTTCTCCAACATTTCTACGAACGATTCTGAACGTGTGACACGTGATTGTGTCTAGCAACATAACCGATTCCGTTTCCGTAGAAAAATCCTCGACAGCTGTTCTATCGATTTCCAAAAAGAAAAAAAAAAAGAAAAGGAAAAAAGATATAAATATATATACGTTTTGCAATCGTTAGTGTCGCCGCGTGTACAAGAGAGGAAAAAAGTGTGGTTTACAAATTCAATCATAAAATCATGATGTAACGAAAAGTTGAGGTGGATAGAGGAGAGAAAAAAAGTACGAACTGTCGTCGTGCGATAAAGTTTTTAATCACATCTACACGGTCTAAGTTTATTCTATGCGGGATCCGGCACGCTTTTCGACGAGAACGGACAAGTAATTTCATAATGTCACAAGACGAAGTTCTGACAGTTCTTACATGGTCGCAGGCACGGAAGGAAAAGTTCCGTTATAAGTTTTAATGGTACATAAATAAACGGCGACGTTGTAATAGAGTTTCTGCAGGACGAGTTTCCTGGGCGAGATTCGATGCGAAAACGTAACACGGTCTCGTTATA